TAAAAAACAGACTTTGTAGAATGTTTTTAGAATTTGCAATTGTAAATTAATTTGACAGTTTAAAAAGCTATTTGTTACACTTTGTAAGTAAAATAAAATATGTATATCCAAAATATTTTAAATGGGACCAACTACATGAAAAACAGAAGCAAAACACATTTATTATGTCCTTTAAGTTGTATTATTTGCATGTAAAGTAGTCTGTGAAAGAAGTAACTATTTGTCTGTGTAAAGTTTTCCTCTAGGTGATTATGCCAGACTGGACCAGTGGATGCTCAACATCAAACGACAGAACTGGACTCCTAACAAGACTTCTCGCTTGTGCAGTGAACACTTTGAGAGTCACAACTTCACCACTGACCCCAGGGTACAGAAACCTTGTTTCATACTTTACTGTAAAAAAATGAGACAGCCTGAATATATTGATATATATATATATATATATATTCAATATAATGAATATATACAGTTACAATATTTATTTTAATGTGTAATTTGTACATTCATACTAAAAAGTTACATTCACACATTAATGTTAAATAACATAAAAACATCTCTTTTATTAAAAACAACTGTTTACCTAGCAGTAATGTTTTTTTTAATGTTTTTGTCATTTTATTAGGGAAGGACTTGCCTGAAGGACACTGCCGTGCCAACCATTTTCAGTTTAGAAGAACCAAAACCAAAAAGAAGATGCTTGGTAGGTATTAAAGATACGGTAAGTGGCATCCCTACTTCTGCTGTACATAGTTATGATGGGGTTGCATATGTTGACAGTGGCAGTATTGACAAACAGAGCAATGTCATGTTAATCGAGGATGCATCTAAACACGCTTTACTTGCTCAAGATGTCAGCCACAATGACACTGCTTTTACAGCAAATGTGTGTGAGGGTGTTGTTTTGGGTAGCAGAGTTCAAAACACAACTCTGAGTGATCACTGCTACTATATTTTAGATTCTCCAAAAACACTGAAAAGGAAAGCTCATGTGTTAAAGGAAAAGCTATATGTAACTCGTAAAAAGCTTAGGATGAGAAGTCAACAAACAAGAAGGCTAAAGTCAAGAGTTACTTCATTGAAATGTGTAATTAGCGAGGTTCAAAAAAAACTTCTAATTTCAACTGAATGTGCCTCTCTTCTTGAAACTCTGGCTGATGTTCCACAGGAGATTTTTCAGAGAATCCAAAAGAAGAAAAAGTCTGTGTTTTGTGAAAGCATGAAGCAATTTGCAACTACACTGCACTTTTACTCTCCAAAGGCCTATGACTTTGTGAGAGAGAAATTTCTCTTGGCTTTGCCTCATCCTCAGACCATACGAAAATGGTATAGTAGCATCTCTGCAGATCCTGGATTTACTGTTGCATCATTCGCAGCTTTAAATAGTCATGTTGCGGAGCAGAAGAAAATTGGAAAGGATACAGTTTGCTCATTGATGATGGACGAAATGTACATTCATAAGCAAACTGAGTTTGATGGGGACCAAATTCATGGCTATGTTGATATCGGTGGTGGTGAGATCGAAAATGTAGTGGCAACACAAGCACTGGTCCTTATGGTTGTTGCAATCAATGGCTCTTGGAAAATTCCCATTGCTTACTTTCTCATCAACAGCATGACAGGACCAGAAAGAGCAAATATTATCCGAGAGAGCCTTGTAAGGCTACATGCTGTTGGAGTTAGGATTGTCTCCTTGACATGTGATGGACCCTCCCAAAATTTAGCAATGATCAGGGAGCTTGGTGCTAGCTTGGACATCATGAATATGAGACCTTACTTTCATCATCCTGAAGACAACACACAAAAAGTCCATGTGCTTTTGGATCCATGCCACATGCTTAAGCTGCTTCGGAATGTGTTTTCAACAGTACAGGTTCTGTTTAGAGAAGATGGCCAGGAGATAAGGTGGTGTTACATTGAGGAGCTCCACAAACTTCAGGAGAAGGAAGGCTTGCGTCTTGGAAACAAACTAAGAATGGCGCATATTCAGTGGCGTAATCAAAAAATGAAGGTCAATCTTGCAGCCCAGCTCTTCAGCAGCAGTGTTGCCGATGCCCTTGAGTACTGTGAGCAAGAGCTGAAGTATTCCCAGTTCTCTGGTTGTGCAGCCACAGTTCATTTCCTGCGCACAATTGATGCAGCCTTTGATGTCCTTAACAGCCGCAACCCACTTGGCAAAGGGCACAAAGCACCAATCAAGCCAACTACTAAACATAGAGCAACAGTTGTTTTAGAAGAAACAGAATCACTTCTCCGTGGGCTCAGAATAAAAGGTAAAGACAACACACTTGTACATGTGTATTCCACACAAAAAAAGACACCTATCTATGGTTTCATTGCTTGTGGCAGAAGTGTGATGGGCATCTATGAAGACCTGGTAGAGCAGCCAGCTGCCTCATGCAGATACCTTCTGACCTACAAACTCAGTCAGGACCATTTGGAATTGTTTTTTTCTGCTGTCAGAGCAAGAGGAGGATATAACAACAACCCAAATGTAAGGCAGTTCCGAGGAGCATACAAACGTCTCCTTGTAAGGCACCAGGTGAAAAGGGGCACAGGCAACTGTCTCCTTCGTGACAACACAACCATCCTTGACTCAACTACTGCAAGTGTAAACATCGCTCGCCGGGTGGATGTGGAGCCTGTGGAAGTGCTTGTGCCTGAGGAGGACTCCCTCTCTGACCTTCCAGATGTTGACAATCTGTCTGAGTACAAGGAAGCAGCAATCTCTTACATCACAGGCTATATTGTGAAAAAGATGAAAGAGAAGGTTACTTGCATGCCTTGCTTACAAGCATTGACTTCAGAGAACTTGGTGCATCCATTCCTTGCTTTGAAGGACAGAGGTGGCTTACAGAAACCATCTCCAGACATCACTGTAGTTTGCCAAGCAACAGAAAAATGCTTTCAGCAGCTTCTAAAAGCCAATGGGGGAAGGCCTCGGCCTGGAAGAGGAACAACAGCAGCTATTGTCACCCAGGTCCTTTCAGATTGTTCTGAGAAGAATCTCTTCCCTCAGCTGCACAGTCACATGTTTGATATGTGTGTTGAATCTAACCATGTCCATGTGCTGGTGAAGATGGCTGCTGCATGGTATTGCAAAGTTAGATTAAACCATATAGCAAGACGTGAGACAGATAAAATTAAAGAGGGAAAAGTGGTGCGCAAAAAACTCACAAAATTAATACATTTTTATGGTGATTAATGAAAAGGTAGTTGGTCATTTCTGTCTATGTTTGTTATTGTATACATGTGTGTTTGGATTTATGCAGATATGGATGTTTGTATGTATGTTTCTGTGTATGGATGTATATATTTTTGTGTGTATGTTTGTGTATATATTTTTATGTTTGTGTGTATGTACAGTATGTGTATATATATATATGTTTGTGTGTATGTATGTGTATATATATTTATGTTTGTGTATGGATAGATGTGTATATCTATGTATAAATATATACTTGTTTGTTTTTTTATGTCTATGTGTATAGATATATGTATGGTTGTTTGTATTTGCATGCATGTATATATTTCTGTGTATGTATGTATATATTTCTGTGTGTGTGTGTGTGTGTGTGTGTAGCATTATTTTCTATGTGTGTCAGAATGTGGCCAATTGACTTTTTGTTGTTGTAGTTTTTTGACTTTGTACGTGGTTCTGAAACTACCTCTCTTTGAGTAACATTGTAAATGTTACTTGGAGCCTGCATGAATGGGGCCCAAGTAACATTCAATGTCTACTATAAACAAGCCTTTAAAGTAAGGACGTACGTGTGTTTGCAATTTAAATATCCCTGGATGGCAAAAAATAAATTAAAAGGAAAAGAAAAACCCACTGATAACCAGAATAATTTTAAGTTGGAGTCTGCATGAACGGGGCCCAACTCTTACAAATCTTAGGATGCTGTGAAGCCAGAGTTATCCTTTACACATGGTGCTTTCCTTAACCCACACAGACATTGCTGATTAATTTGCTGTTTTTGCCCTGTAACATAGGAATTTTCAATCAATCTTAGAGTCTGCATGAATGGGACCTAAGTGATATTGATCTTTTATGTGAAATACATATGCAACCTCCCTGGTCCTTGTTTATATAGATAGTTTCTGTAATGTAGTGTTCAAGTCAAGAATCATTTAATCACATATTTACAAAAAAAATGTAACAATAAAAATAAATTTCTTATTCACTCATGTTAAGTTTGAAGTTTACGTCCATGGTTAGTTTGACTTTATATTATAGATATTGAGTTACTGAAGTGTTATAATAATTCAGTCATTTGCATTTTAGGTTATGTTATAAAAAAGCTTTAAATAAAGTTCTTTATTCAGAATTTATTCTTATGGGTTTTTTGGTGATCTTACTACTGTTTTGTTAGGGCTGATATAAAGTCTTATGTGTTAGGTTGTTCCCATCACCACCCTAATGTTTTACCATTGTATATTGTTTCACCAGTGTTGTTTGGTTGAATGTTCTCCTTTTCTTACATGTCCTGTCCTGTGGTTTGTAGCGTCTTATATGTTTGTCCCATGTTATATGTTCCCACTCCTGGCCTGCACCTTGTCGTGGTGAGTGGGCTTTTAACCAAGACAGGCCATAGTGAATAAATTATACCAGTCTTTTAACCTTGTCATCTTTCTCTCAGGTATTTCATGTGACATCTCGTGCTTGTGTGTTGATATTCCATAGCTGATCATAGTATCCATCCCCCAGATGTGGAGCGCTCCGGTAACAGGTTCCATAGTGAGTCTTTAACTTCTGTACCTAGGTGAATATTGTGCTGCTTAGTCTTTTGTTAAACTTGTAATCTACTTAAAACTGTTATCTATAAACCTCTATATGAAAACTATTCTTAGATTAAATGGGCCAAATGTAAAGTTAAATTTAATTTATTTTCTGAAAGCAGTGTTCCCAGATACTGAATTGAAGAACTCGTTGTCATTCAAGAATGAAATGAATTTATTTATAAAACTAACAATATTTCAATAATTTGTGAATGATTAAAAGTAATAATAATAATAATAAAATAAAAAAATAAACAATATGAAAAGCAGAGGTTAACAGTGTTATGCCTACAAATGGCACTTAAGAATAAACATTAAAAAAAACTCTACATTAGCCATAATGGTCAAGGCTATTTAAATCAAATGGGCCCTAAAGCCCAAATTCAAAAGCAGTGACACTATTGGCTGTTCACTGCATTTGAATGTGGTCTTTAAGGCAGTTGGCAATACTGCTTAAAAAAATATCATTTCCCATAGGTGTGAAATGAACTCCATCTTTTAGGAATAGCCCAGGACTGTCATGTCTAATGTGAGGGTGCATAATCATGGCACCATTTAGGCTATCAACAAATGTAGCCATAACACTGTTAACAAATTTCCGGGCCTTGTCAAGTTTAGCTGGCTTAGCACCAGCCTTCCACCAGCACCTCTGTGTTAAAGATGAAAACAAAATTTTCATATCAGGGTGCTGGAGCTTCATCTGGAGCAAGTCCTCTTTCATTGAGTTCACCAACAGGACGCTGGTGACCTCCCCAATATCATTTCCTCCACAATGAAGGACAAGGACATCTGGTACGACTCTTCCTTTAATCAAGTCCTGGAAGTATTTTGGAAGTCGTTTCCACCTTAAACCGCCCCAGCCAAACCAAGAGATATGGGCCCCAGGCAGCCCAAGGTTGTTGCCCACAGTCTCCTGCGCTCTCTGGGCACCTCGTCGGACATAACTGTCACCAATGATCCACACTGTGTCTATGGAAACAAAATCAGTGATTTTAATAAATGCTGTCAGTTTTTTTGTTGACAATAATGTAACAAGTGAGAAAAACTAGAATAATGGAGCAACAACTTAAAACATATCTTTTTAAACTAAGACTACAACTTACAGTTTAATTTTTGTGACCTAACAGACGTGGATGAGGATGTTTCAGAGGAGGCCATGATGTAAGCAGCAATCAATAACTGAAAGATATAAACATTGGTAACACTTTAAAATAATGTTCCATTATTAAATATTAGTAGATGTAATTAATAAAATGTGATCCTGGTCCACAAACAAGAGTAGTCAAAATGCATTGTGTGAGTCAAAATTAGTGATATTTAGTGACAAGTTTTGAATATTTTCTACTGTAAATATATTATTGCTAAGAACTTTGGACAACTTTTAAGGGGATTTTCTTATGGAAATATTTGACTCCTTAAAATTCAAATTGTTGATTTTTAACCAAATATCATTCTATCCCAACAAACAACACATCAATATTAACTAATACTTTTGTTCCAATATAAATGTTATACTCACAATACTTTAGATAATGTTAACAAGCTCAAATTAAATGCATTACTAAATGTTGAACTATTATTAATAAATACATTATTGTGTTAGTAAATAAACCCAAGTCACATTTTACTAGCATTACTTATCACATTTCAACCAGTAAACAATATCAACTGCCAACATTGAACATACAACTGTTAATTGTTGATATAAAAAATATTTAATTTAAGAATTTTATATAAAGAATACTTTTTGATGTTAACAATTAAATAGTTGATATCAACAATTCAGTTATTTCAAACGAAAGAAATATAATGAATGCTGAATGTTGAAATCAATAAAGCATATCCTAAGAATAAGTCAAAACGGCTTGCCACAGAGAGCCATAATAATATCAACAACATTAATTATTTTAAGTTTTGTTGTGTAGTTTCAGGTTAATTTACCTCGATAGTACGCTGAGATGTTCAAATGATTCAAATGTCGCGGGTGGTGGAATGGTCTCTATGGTTTCAGCAAACAGTCATCTTAACTCCGCCTAAGATCCGCCTCTGCCCATTTTCGAGTATCCGGGAATGACGCACTTCCAAGATGGCGACGGCTGACCACGCCTACAGTAAGCTTCATTTGCGCTCTTCAGAAACCTATGGGTGACGTCACGGACACTACGTCCATATTTTTTACAGTCTATGCTAGAAAGCCCAGAATGTCCTCTGAACAATACAACAGGACTTGACAGAGTAGCTAAAAAAAATCAAAGAAAATTCATGAAAACATAATGTTTACTACAGAGGACACAAGTCAATGGGCGGGTCTATATGCATTTCTGGAGATAGTGAATTATGTAGTCAGAAATACGTATGCTGCATTTCATCTCATCTTTAAATCGAACGCTAGGAGCGGTATGACACTGTTCCTTTCTGTGCCTTCAGTTGACTGCTTACCTCCATATGCATTGCTTTTTCACTGTTACCAGTTTGTCCAGTGGCTGGTCATGTGCGTTTGGCGCATTAACCTGCCCCCCCATTTCCATAAACCCAACTGACAGTGTTTTCAAAAGCGATCCAGAAAAGAAAACATTTTATCAAAATCTCACCCTGTTATTTAAATGTTTATTTAATTTTTTGGTTTCTGTTTTCGTCGTACCTGCTTTCTGGAACTGAGACTCAAACCCCATCATTGCGGTCAACTCCACTCTGTATCTCAAATCCTCCGACATATGCAGTGAGCCACTGGGCAAACTGGTAACAGCAGAAAAGATGTCCATATGGAGGAAAGCGGTCAACTGGTAATCTCCAGAAATGTGTATAGGGTTACGTTTTCAGAATGAGCCTATGTTGTCTAATATGTCTAAATAGCATTTTTATTTTTGGTATATTATTAATATTATTATTGAATTTTTTTATATAAAGTAGATTTCAAGGAGATTATAAATATGTTTTCACAGAGGAACTGTGGATGAAATGATCAAATTTTGAACAAATTATTCAATCTTTAAATAAAAAACACTAAGCTTTTTTTCTCAATACTTGGGACTTTGTTTGAAATGTTTTTGTTTTTATTAAGTGTTTTTATGTTTTAAATCTGCAGCTCTTACGGTTTATAACCCGTTATCACACAATACGATTGAAATCTTTTGTAAATCATAACTGATGCATTATTTTATCTATTTAATAATTATTTGAATTATATAATTAATTAATTATTTAATTAATTATATATATATATATATATATATATATATATATATATATATATATATATATATGTATACACATGTATGTGTGTGTGTATATATATATATATATACATATATATATATATTATATATTATAGATAGATAGTTAGATAGATAGATAGATAGATAGATAGATAGATAGATAGATAGATAGATAGATAGATAGATAGATAGATATATAGATAGATAGATACATAGATAGATAGATAGATAGATGAAAACACATTTCATTATCACAGACTCTAATTGTAATGCCGTCTAAATGGCATTTTGACTTGTTGGTGACTGAGGTTTGGTACAGGGTCTTGAAAAACACACACTGAGTAGATTAAAAACATTACACGAGTGCAAAACCTTCCATTAATCCATAAATGTCTAGAAGAGAAATCCGAGGGGAGCGAGTTCAAGGCAGTGTTGTAATAAAAACCATCTTTCCTTCTCCATTGTTCTGGCTAAAATCATATGAGACTTTCAGTATAAATGGTGGAACTAACTTAATTATGAAAATCCTCCCGCTGCATTGAAAATGGGCTGCAGTAACAGGGGAATAAAAGCTGTTATCCAGACGTGTGTGTGTGTGTGTGTGTGTGTGTGTGTGTGTGTGTGTGTGATACCCACCGGGCTTTCTCTGCAACTGTCTGCTGTAATATAAATCCCTATTGCACTTTGTATTTATCCATTTTTAATGAAGTGTCTCAGCTGCGTGTGTGTCTGAATGAGATGAGAAATGGAAAAAAGGAGAGGAGATGGGAGGAAAGATGTGGACGGCCTGTTGACGAGAAAGAGAGGGAGAGGGAGAGAGAGAGGATCAGCGGTTATGTGATGACATCACTTGTGACTCAGGTGCTTTTGGGATTTAGCACTGGAGACCTCACTATTATATTGGAAAAAATGGATTTTTGAGGTAGTAATTGAAAGAAAGATTACAGAAAAAACCTTCATTTTTTTTCAAGAAACCTATTTCGGGCTTTTGCATTTAAAGTCTGTGTGAAATCAAAATTTGCAGTGTTTATTTTTGATAGCTCGCATTGTTATTCTTTAGCTGAAAAATGAATATGTGCAAGTTAATCCACTAGAACAGTGGTTCTCAAACTGTGGTATATGTACCACAAGTGGTATGCAGGCTTCCTTCTACTTTCTACCTGCGCTGGCCCGCGTGGGGCCTACCTGTGATGGCCCATGTGGGGCCCACCTGGGCTTGCTGGAGTGGGGCCCACCTGGGATGGCCCACGTGGGGCCCACCTAGGCTGGCTCGCTTGGGACCCACCTGGGATGGCCCGCGTATGGCCCACCTGGGATGGTCCGCATGGGGCCCACCTGGGATGGCCCGCTTAGGGCCGACCTGGGATGGCCAACGTGGGGCCGACCTGTGATGGCCCGCTTACGGCCGACCTAGGATGGCCCACGTGGGGCCGACCTGTGATGGCCCGCGTGGGTCCCACCTGGGATGGCCCGCTTAGGGCTGACCTGGGATGGCCCACGTGGGGCCGACCTGTGATGGCCCACGTGGGTCCCACCTGGGCTTGCCCACGTAGGGCCCACCTGAGATGGCCCGCGTGGGACCCACCTGGGATGGCCCGCATAGGGCCGACCTAGGATGGCCCGCGTGGGGCCCACCTGGGCTGGCCCGCGTAGGGAACACCTGGGATGGCCCTGGTAGGGCCGACCTGGGATGGCCCGCGTGGGGCCCACCTGGGCTGGCTCGCGTGGGGCCCACATGGGCTGACCAGTATTATTATTCATGATAATACTTTACATGTAAGTACAGCAGTTTTCTTTTTGCGTTTTAAGAACTGTGCCATTTTTAAATAATTTTTAAAATCACATTTCAATTTAAACAGTGACGTTTTATTTATCTTATTTATCTTATTTCATTTATGTTATTAAGTGTGATAATGTTAAAACTATTTATTATGTTTAATGTGGCTGACAATAATAAATTTTCATAATAATTAGATTTTATCTGCCACGTTTGTGAACTGTGCAGAGCTGTAGCCGCTTTTTAAGGCCTATTTTGTATTTCAATACCAGTCATTATGGTGGAGCTTGGAGAGACATTTTTTTCTGAGGTGGTACTTGGTGAAAAAAAGTTTGAGAACCACTGCACTAGAAAAACTGTTTGCTTTGGTCAAATCTGACCAATCGGTGTCAGCCTATCTCTGATGATGCCAGTTGGCTTTAGTCACAATATTCTTAGCCACGCCCCTCTTACTGTTAGTTTGCTTCAAGGAAATGATGTTCAAAAAGAAAGCCATACCTCCTACCAGGGTGTCCGTGGGGTCTTTAAAAAGTATTATTTTCATTTATATAAGTTGATCAATCAATTATGAGAAAATAAAGGCTCTTAAAAGGTATTAAAAAGTCTTAATCACGTTTTTACGAGGTCTTAAATTTAGTTTAAGCATTTTCCAAAGTGTTTGACTCATAAAAAAACATATTTATTTTCCTCCTAATATTAACAACGGCGTTCTCGATTCACACAATTGGTTTACGCCGTGTTGCGTCTGGCCAACCTCCTCCGTCCAGGTGAGGGCATCCGCTGCGTAAAAAATATGCTGGATAAGTTGGCGGTTCATTCCACTGTGGCGACCACAGAATAATAAAGGGACTAAGCTAAAAAGAAAATGAAGGAATGATCATGTGTTTTTTACACATAGAAAATATTATATTGCACCACATATGGGACTATCTTCAAGGTTGTTTTGTTTCCATTAAGTAATCGACAGCTGTAATTTGTATAAGACTAATGGATACAATTTCTGTTTCTTGAAAGTGATAGAAATGCAGCTATTGTTGGAAAGTATCTTACATTTGACACCATGTTTTTCCTGCTCTTGTGTGGGTTCATGAAAATCTCATAAAATTGTGTTTATATGTCGGTGAGACTAACAATTCGCATCATTTACTACTGCCTTATTACCTGCCTATAGTCAAGATGTGAATTGTTTATTAGCACTTATAAAACCTAATTCTACCCAATACCTAAATTCAAATATTACCTTACTAATTGTTAGACAAGCAGCTGA